TAGGTATGGCCATTGAACATCTGTGCAAATCTGTGTCTTTGGCAATTCTGGCCCACCAGCCTCTGGTTCAAATCAAAAGAAAAGATGGTCATCTACTTGAGCATTATATTTTTTCCCTGATGGTATATGGGCCTTTTTTTTTTATCAATGTTTTAGGTGCTGCTGAAGAAGCAGCTGCAGTTTTTGATGAAGCAGCTGCTCTTTGTATTCAAAAGCAGCACATGAATCATGCATCAGCATCCCAGAACTTGAGCATATCCAATGAGGATCGTAATTTAGTTTCTGCTAGAAACTTTGGCTTGGAAGATGGAAGTCCAAGGCAGTCAAAACACCCACAAGGGAATAACCTAAGAGATATTCCTGGAAATTATCATGGAGCCACTACGTTAGGAGGATCTGCTAGTCATCATTCAAATGGTGGCCTTCCAAACCTGTCATTTTATAACACTCCTTCACCAATGGTTACACAGGTATGATGATGTAAATTATGCCTAGCTACGAGCATACAGAAAATCTGGCTTGATACCTCAAACTCTAACACTAGTGAATTCTTCTTTTTTTGTTTGAAATAATGACTAACTTCTGATTTTGTATTTTTTTTTTGTTTGGGGCAAACTTTCTACCTATTGTCAATCAGATTTCTGGGTAACATTATGTGATTTTTGTTATTGATTCGACTTACTTGGTCTTATCTACTCCTCTTTGTTTTATGCACTCAAAAGATATGCTCAATTATGGTTACTGTTTAATTTTAGGAATGTACCACGTCTTTTATCTTGCTAATTCTTCATTTGCCTCACCAATTTGAGGGTCTGTCATATTTTGAATTCTGTGTTTACTCTCTATGGATTCATGTTTTCTCCACCTAATTGGAAGCTAGCCTTTGTGTTTAGGGCTTGTGAGGCAGAATTGATTCTTTAATTAATCTGTCCTCTGTTCCAACATTTGTTTTGTAGATTTTCTGAGAATGACACGTAGCTTGTTCTTCTTTATTGCTCTTGGGTTGTTACGCAGATGGTAAGGGTGGGGTAGGTCTTAGGTTCAATCTTGGTACCATTTCTTGTTAATTTTTCTTATTGAAGGGTCAAATGTTCAATCTTTGAATTTGATCCTCATTTTTCTGCTTACCAAGCATGGTTTATTCTGTGACTTGAAATGCAGTTGTGCATTTTTTCATCCTATTCCTTTGATTTCTTTGTTAAATCTTGTTCCCTAGACTTTTGATCTTTATCTTGAAATAACATTTTCATGTGAAGTAAAGTTCTCTGCTAATTAATTTTATCTTATTCCTGCCAGTTCTTGCTCTTTCTTTACTATGCTGGTCAAAATGCTTCGATGTGCTCTTATGTCTATATATAGAAACATGCACCTATTCTTTCATTTCATGTTCACATGTTCTTCCATGTAGTAACTACATCTCACACCTTTCTGCTTCATCTGACTTCTTTCTGCTGTATTCATTGTTTCTCATGCTGGTGAACCTGCAAATATGCTACCATCTCTTCTCTTATGAACTATAGAATATATTACACGGATAGAATGTAATTAATAATAGTAGTTTATAGCTCTAAAAACCAACACTATTAGTGTTTCTTTCTTTCTTTCATTTTTTATTTTTAAGTTACACTGCTTTCACCAATTAATTTTTTTTAAATACAATATGAAATATTGCACTCACAGTAAGGTTAGGATATAGTTTACTTCCAAACATTGTTTACTTAAATTTGGTGTTCTTTTCCATAGCATGTTCCATCGTTTTGTATTTTTTTGCTCATGACACTATATTTTGCAGTTGTCGAGTGTTGCCCCACCACCACTGTGTAGAAACATGCAGCCAAATGGTTCCAATCCTAGCATGCCTGGTTTTGATAACAGTGCAAGGTCAACTGTGAATTCTAATATGCAGGCCCCTCGAAGAAAGTTTGTTGATGAAGGGAAATTGCGGAAGGTTAAGAGCTCTAATACAGCCTTTCTTTTGTTAATTTTGTGTCTCCAATATCTCTTCCTAGCTAAACTTCGAAACTCTATGCCTTTTTTTTAAAGAAATGATATAGTATTTCAGGTCTCAGTTGTGAAGCACTTATTATACTGCACTTGCAATAAGGAAGATTTGTGGGTTTGTTTTCCTTGTATGAGGAGACATTTCATAATGCAAATTTCTATATTTGGATCTGAATATAGCACCTTTGAGATTTTTTGTTTCTGTTTTTCCCTGTGCTTTATCCAATTCAGTTTATCTGTGCCATGATTTTCTGTCGTCCCTTGTCTTCATGGTCCAGACTTAGCTTATCCTGTAAGCATTTCTTGTGGGGGATTTTTTAACCTTCCTGTTTACTAAATTGTTTTATGGAATTTTAGTTTGTTAATTGACCTTGTTGACACATCTTCATGTATTTTCATCTTGATTACTCCATGGGGCATGCATGATTGATTTTCATCCTTGTATTGAAGGCATCCTTTCCATTCTGCTAGTTGTGTAGGCATGTTATATTGACATTAACTTTTATTAAGGTTTTTATATCTTGTGTGACTTTGTCAACATGCCTTGGTCAAACCTGCTATTGTTCCGTCCATCTTTTCTTTATTTAATGAATCGTTCAGTGGTTTCCACAACATCAATGCCCCTCATTTCTTTTCAGATTTCTGGGAGGTTATTTTCTGATTCTGGCCCTCGGCGAAGTACAAGGCTTGCTGCAGAAGCAGGAGCCAACCAAAATACTAGTTCTACACTGGTTGCAGGGAATGGAACTAACAACTCTCCTAAATATCTTGGGGGTTCCAAGTTAAGTTCTTTGGCAATACGTTCGGTGACAGTTCGCAAGGGACAGTCATGGGTCAATGAAAATTATGATGAAGGTGATTGTTCTTCTTTTGTTTGACTAAGTTGTAGACATGTACATCCGTTTTAACATTGGAGTTGGCTGAAATGTTGCTTGTGTTAGTGCGGTGGACTTAAGTTGAAATATCAAGTTATCTTCCTTTTGTCGCTATTTTTTATTGTTCTGCAGCATGCATTCTTTTGGTCTTCTGTCTGCTTATTGACTATCTAACCAGTTGCTTGAAAATTTTGATTTTAATCTTATTAAGGGATACGGAATGAGGCTTTTGATGATTCACGTGCAAATAATACATCATCAAATTGTAGTCCATCACTCACTGGGGATTCTAGATCTCTTGAAACAGAAGTAGCAACCATGCCCGTTGGTGGAGTTATCGCAAGTCCTTCATGTATCTTAAGTGGTGCTCTAGAAATATTAGGCCTCCTGAGAACTCTTGGGGAAGGTTATAGACTTTCTTGCATGTACAGATGTCAGGTATTAACTGGTGCTTGCTAAAAGATCAAAGTTATTAATATTTTGAGGAATGTTTTTCACCACCTAGCTTCTTGGTAGTACAGGATGCACTGGATGTCTACATGAAACTACCACACAAGCATTATAATACAGGCTGGGTGCTTTGCCAGGTAAAAATCGGTAGTTGAATATGAAACACCTTGTTTTCTTCTCAATTTCTTTTCTTGCTGCTTAGGATGCACTTGTCTCACTGATAGATACGCAGAAAACTAGTGATGAGATTGATGATGAATATATGAGATACCATTGCATATTTACTTAATTAATTATTGATAGGTATTGAAATTTCAGAACTGAGTGCATGCTATTTTGAGTTGAAATGTAAAAACTGTCATGGAAATAAAATTTTCATAAAAAATTTCCTTCTTGAGTTTTCATGTTTGTAATCTAATTGCATGCATTCCAGAACTGTTTTAAACTCACCTTTTGAAACTCTGCCATCATCAGTTTTTGATGATATCAGTGATATTTTTTTTTAATACTGGCTTAAGGTTAGAAGCAGTCAATTTTATTAACTTTGCGTATTTAAAGAGATTCTGCTTTATTTTTCACCCCCATTAGTTTTGGTTTATTTAGAACTGGAATGTATCCATTCTGGATCCCATGCTTCTTTTTGTTTTTTGCATTCTCATCTGTGCTTCTCTCAAAATGACTGTTTGCTTTGATATTATACCATCTGCATGCTATACATTATTGGACATGCTTGTATTTTGAATGCAGGTTGGAAAAGCATATGTTGAATTAGTGGATTATTTGGAAGCTGATAGAGCATTCAGTCTTGCCAGGCGAGCATCACCTTACAGTTTAGAAGGATTGGATGTATATTCTACGGTTCTTTATGTGAGTCTATCTATATAGGAGGTTCTGGTAACACGTTCCATGCTTCTTTCTGCTTAGTTTATAGTCCGTATTCCTAAAATGTAAAAGGATACTTGACTTCTGGTCTCTGCCGCTGGAAATCAGGATAATATAGGGTTTTATTCCTAGAAACTAGTCATTATATTCCAATTGTAATGCTTGATGCTTGCACTCATGCATTTCTGGTATATCTATTTCTTACATTAGATGAAGTTTTATTCTTGCATTTGTTGCAGCATTTGAAGGAAGACATGAAGTTAAGTTACCTGGCTCAAGAACTGATATCAACTGATCGTTTAGCTCCTCAATCTTGGTAGTGCTATTATACCTTTTAACATATAGTGCTTTCATTGCCTTTTTTTTTTCTTTTACCTGTTCACAATCTAGTTTTCACGTTTTATATGGTGGTTATCACCTTAAATTTCTCCTCTGAGCTGTTATACATATTTTTCTTCACGAAAGCAGCCGTAAAGTTGTCTACGCTGCTCATTATTTTTTGGACTTCGTTTTTCTCTTGTCCTTGTGGGCCTCGAAGAGTAAAGCATATACCCTCAGATGCAGGAATGCTTTGTTCAATCATTACTAAAATTGTACCATAATGAAGCTGATATCTTGAAATCTGGATACCTTTTTTGTAGCTCTGTGGATATTTATGAGGGAAGGGTCCTTTTGTATTCATTCACAATTTCATGTCATCTTTGCCTAACTAGGTGATCTGCTCATTTCAGTGGTTGCTTTTAGGATGGTTGACAGGTGATGTTATCTGTTATAGAGACATTATGATCCTTATTTGAATGTGCTTGAAACAAGTTTGGGCATAGCACAAGGCTGGGTGATTTCAGTTTGTTAAAACATCAAGCGTGCTTAATTTACTTTTCTGCAGCTGTATTCATCATTACCTGAACAAGTTTGGGCATAGCACAAGGCTGGGTTATTTCAGTTTGTTAAAACATCAAGCGTGCTTAATTTACTTTTCTGCAGCTGTATTCATCATTACCTGTTCTTATCATCATCATCATCCTCATTTGTCACTCATTCAGGTTAAATGGGCATGCAGGTGTGCTATTGGAAATTGCTATAGTCTGCAGAAAGACCATGAAACTGCCTTGAAAAATTTTCAGCGAGCTGTACAGCTTGATTCAAGATTTGCATATGCACACACCTTGTGCGGTCATGAGTAGGTCCCTTGGTTCCTTTTTTTTTGTTCCTTTTCTTTTCTTATGATAACTGACATATTTGTATTTTCAAATGATAGAGTTCCATATTAAATTTTGGATTCAGGTTTCATGTAATTTTCTTGCAATTACTTTGTTACTTGCAGATATGTTGCCTTGGAGGATTTTGAGAAAGGAATTAAGAGTTACCAGAGTGCTCTACGGATAGATGCTAGGCATTACAAGTCCTGGCATGGGCTTGGGATGGTCTATCTTCGGCAAGAGAAAAACGAGTTTTCTGAGCATCACTTCCGAATGGCTTTCCAAATAAATCCTTGTTCTTCGGTGATAATGTCTTATCTTGGGACTGCTTTACATGCCTTAAAGGTTGCACCATATCCAAATTGATTGTTAAATTTTAGATTCCAAAATTGATAATGTCCTATGGCTTTCTTCTCATTCCCCACCTTTTTGATTTTTTTTTTAAAACAGAGAAATGAGGAAGCTCTGGAGATGATGGAGAGGGCAATTTTAGCTGATAAGAAGAACCCTCTTCCCATGTATCAAAAGGCTAATATACTCGTGAGCTTGGAAAGCTTTGGTGAGGCTTTAGAAGTCCTAAAGGAGCTGAAAGAGTATGCTCCTCGTGAAAGCAGTGTTTATGCTTTGATGGGTAGAATTTATAAGAGGCGTAACATCCATGACGAGGCAATGCTTCACTTTGGTCTTGCTTTGGATTTGAAACCATCAGCAACCGACGTGGCTACAATAAAGGTGATTGCTTTATTTCACAATCTCTTGCTTTCTAACATTGGGAATTAAACGTGAAAGCAAATTTATTTTCTGAGAAAAATGGGTTATGAAATTTACCTTGTATACTCAACAATTCATAGCATTGGTCAGAGCATGAACTTCAGCGAGGAAACGCCTTTTCCCTCTCTCCACAGATTGATTTTAACTGGACTGAATGCCTAATTCACCTGAAAGGTGAAATCTAGCTTTTTTTCATGGTCTCAGTCAAAACCATAACTTGAATCTTCAACTGAATTTATGGACTTTACCTCCTTTGTTTTTTCTTCGTTAGGGTGGAGTTACATTCTGTTGACATCTTATTTCTTAATATTTGACAGGCTGCCATTGAGAAGCTGCATGTACCAGATGAATTAGAAGACAGCTTGTAGGTCTTTTAACATTGGAGACACATAGGCAGAAGGGAACACAACGCAAATTGTGCAGCTTAGAGCTGCTGGCCCCAAGGAGGATAGCCTGCTCGTGCTTTCGATGAATAACGAATACAAGAACTTGATCCCGGGCGTTTATCTGGCATGTGGCGGCTCTTTTAGGTGGCGGCTTTTGCAGAAGTGACCTCAGTTTTGAAGGTGATTGACATGCTGACAGAAGACTTGAGGTGACAAAGGCCCTAGAAACTGCCATTCTTGTACCAATAGTTGTATAATCATATGTCAAGATGAAATGGTTGTATTATTCATTTGTTTTTTTTTTTTTTTATCAAATTTATTCTCTTGGCCCCTCCCCTGTCATTTGAACTCTCTTCTTTTTGGTAATGTCCACAACTATGATTTCAATGGGCATCATATCAACATCAACTTGGTTGCTTGGTTTATATGTTCATTAATTTTAGGATTAAAAGATTAAAATGAATGTAAGCTGGTCTAAAAAACACGAGAAGCGAGGTCTCAAATACATAAAAAGAAAAAATAAGGTGGTTGAGGCCATGTCCATGAACCTTTCTCTCGTCACACACTATTTCGAAACTGGATAAGCCTTTTCGTCTCAGCTCATCTCATCTCATGCCACAAAACAGAAGTTACAAGGCTGATATCCCACCATTTTATGATTTTCGTCCATAGATTAGGTTAGAGTAGACCCGATCATTCTTCCTCACAGGAAATCAAAGAAAGAAATGCTATCCACACTGCAGCAGCCCCCTCGCTCCCTTTCTCGAATCCCTCTTCACCTTAAACCCCTTCGTTCTTTCTTCACTGTTGCGTCTGCTTCAGCTTCACAGGACCAATCCTCCCCGCCTTCATCTCAGATCCTCACCCTCCGCCGCGCCCTCCTCTCTCGCCAAACGACTGCCACCCAACTAGCTGAGTCCTACATTTCCCGCCTCTCCCTCACCGAGCCCCACCTCCACTCCTTCCTCCACATCTCCGACACCCTTTTAAGAGATGCCCAGCTAATCGACCGCAAGATTGAAAAAGGAGAGGATGTCGGCCCCCTTGCTGGGGTCCTTGTTGGGGTCAAGGACAATATCTGTACTGCTGACATGCCTTCAACAGGTGGCTCCCGCATCCTGGAGAACTACAAGGCTCCGTTCGACGCAACAGCTGTTAGGAGAGTGAAGGAGAAAGATGGGATTTTGATTGGAAAGACTAATTTGGATGAGTTTGGCATGGGAAGTACCACTGAAGCTTCTTCTTTCCAGGTCTTCTTCTTTGTTCTTAATTTTTGACTCATGGGAACAATCAAACAAACAAACACTTGACAGGCATTGGCAGTTTCTGCTGTTCATTTTCTAACAGGTGACTGCTAATCCATGGGACTTGTCTCGGGTGCCTGGTGGATCGTCAGGCGGATCGGCTGCAGCTGTTTCTGCTCGGCAATGTATGGTGTCACTTGGTAGTGATACTGGTGGAAGTGTAAGGCAACCAGCATCATTTTGTGGCGTTGTTGGATTGAAGCCAACATATGGGCGTGTCTCCAGATTTGGGCTCATGGCGTATGCATCATCACTTGATGTTATCGGATGCTTTGGTACTTCAGTTGCTGATACTGGCATCCTCCTTCACGTAATTTCTGGTCATGATAGATTTGATGCCACTAGTAGTAACCGAGTAAGAATTCTTCTATTTTCTCCACTAGGGCAATCAATTCTCTTTGATTTCTTGCTTTGAGAAACTGTGAGTTTGTCTCATAAATTTACTAGCTGACAAAACTTCAGATTCTGATGCTTGCTTAAGAGGAAGCAACTGAAATTTTCATGCATTAAGTGAAACGTGGACTTTTCTGGTCATTGACGGGACTGTAAGAGTTAATGTAGTTACCTGTAGCTGAAAGTGTCACCATCACTCGTATAAGCAAGCATGTTGATCAATGCAACATGCATTCTGTACTTGTTGCTAAAAGAACCAACATGAAATTGAGTTCTCCTGGATTGCAATGGCCATGGTGTTCTTGTGTTTCTGCTCAGAGCTTTTTCGTTGAATTTGAGTATGCATATCTTTCAGTTTGGATCTACGATAAAATAGTTTGATTTTGTGGTCAGAATAGTCACACTCCACCAATCAAAGAGGGGGTGGTGTGGATGCTGAGAGGTGATCTTTTTCGTATCTTCCTCTATGGTCTGATTTAATGTAAAATAAGCTCTTCTATTCTCCTGGAATGCTAATAACTCATCTAAAAAAAATAAAAAATAGTTAATGTTAGTAGCTATCCTGAAGCAATTGAATTTAGAAAAACATCATATTTCTGAAACCCATACAGTCCAGCTAGTGCAGCAACAAAAGTCTTGAACAATTAGGAGGGACCCAACTCCAATTAAGCATTTTGGATTGATTTCCTATATTTTCTGGTTTATCAATCTATAGGGTTTCAAAGCCCTGTTTAGTTTTATTTTCTTTCTTGTACTCTCTTTTTGGAGGATGTTTTATTCTTCTTCTTGTATTCTTCTTTATTCTTTGTTTCAAAAAAGAAAAAGACTGTTCCTTACCATAATAGTTTCACTTTTCAGGAGTTTCCTGATTTTTTATCACAATTCACTTCTATAAATCTTGTGGAATCGAAACCATTGAAGGGGTTGAAGGTTGGTCTTATCCGTGAAACTCTTGAAGATGGTGTGGACAATGGAGTAAAATCTGCAATTAGTGGTGCCGCTTCACATCTTGAAGAACTAGGATGTACTGTGACGGAGGTCTAACTTATAACCTTTACTCAGCAGACATGTGTTTTTTGGTTAACAGATTTGGCTGATACTTTTTGTTTCCTATTTGGCGAATTGATTTACAGGTCTCATTGCCATCTTTCTCCCTTGGTTTACCAGCCTATTATATTCTTGCTTCATCAGAATCATCTTCCAACTTATCACGTTATGATGGTGTCAGGTAATTCTCTGACTGTTAGTTCTCATTTGATATTTTAGTGCTTTCAACGGAACTATAGATGTTGTATGGTTCTATGTAATTCAGCACTTCCAGTTTAGACAGAAGATGACATGGTAAACATTTTAAATTAAGTTAAGGCGTATAGAGCTATGAGTGTTTACAGATTTCGCATTGTGAAGTTTGTTTCATATGTTTGAGTCATATTCCATTTCTCTGCCTGTACAATGTAGTATAAAATAAGATCACAGTTGGGCTATAAACAAGTTATCTTGGTTTATTTCAAACAGTTTTGTAGCTGCTTATAATATTAAGCACCCCATACAAATTTAAAAAAAAAGAAGAAAAAATTGTTTTTGTTGGTGTCCAGTTTTTGCCTCTTCTTGCATATCTATATTGTCTAGATATATAGACAAGCAATCATTCTTCTACATTGGCATGTAGGTATGGGAACCAAGTTTTTGCTGAAGAGTTAAATGCTCTTTATAATGATTCCCGAGCAAAAGGATTTGGTCCTGAGGTATGTATCACCCTGGCAGTCATTGTAAAGAAGTTGTTCTGTTCTTTTTTCTTTGGAAAATAAAATGGTATAGTCGAATATTATTTGAGATGTTGCAAGGTATTATCACCAGCTCCCATTATAATAGACTGCTTATGGCTATTATCACTTCAACTGAAAGTACAGATTAGCCATGCACAGACAAGACCCTTGAAGTAGTATTTATTGCATATTTTCAGGTCCAAATGAGAATCTTGATGGGAAC